ATACTACATCCGCATCGAGGGCCCGGCTGAGGGCAGTGCTGAGATGGACTACGCCATGTGCTCCTACAGCCCTGAGGGTGAGCGTGGCTCCACGTCCTGCTGGAGAACCCAGGGCGCGCGGGATGACTCGGACAGCAGCCCCACTGCATCGCTGAGCATGGAGCCGCTGCTGGGCCGTGCACCGGCAGGTGAGGGCTCGTGGGAGTGCGCCGAGTACTACCCCTATGCGGGGCAGGAGCAGCATGGCTATGTGCCATCCCCTGGCCCTGAGCGGTTCCTGCTGGACGAGGAGCATGCTGAGCCCAGTGACAAGGACTGGTCCGTTCCCAGCTTCCAGCACAGTGTCTTTGCTGACCCACTGGGCGTCTCGCCCTCACTGAACTGTGCCTACAGCCCCCAGCGCTACAGGCAGCCTCCAGCACGGGGTGAAACCCATCCGGACTGCGTGACGCTGGAGCTGGGGGATGACAGCCCCCTTGGGGCTCCCATCCCAGCAGCCCCCCAGCAGCAACCCTGGGCCTCCAACAGCTCCTCCAACAACAACATTGGCAGTGGCAGCCCGGCCACCCGCGAGCCCGCCGACAGCTGGTGCTACCGCCGCATGATCACCTTCCGCGGGCTGATGGCCAAGCCTCTGGGCACTGTGCCACCGCGCACCCAGCCCCAGCTCGGGGGGGTCCCCGCCGGGCATCGATTTCCGCCGCCCACGGCAGGAGCAGCCCCAGCCCCCCGGCTCCTCCCAGTGCCGCTCGCCCTCCCCGCAGAGCCAGGCCTGGCAGAGCCGTGACTCATCAGCCTCCGGCCGCTCGCAGGCAGCAGCGCTGGCTGGCAGCCCCGACGCGACCCTGGAAGCCAGAGCGCAGCCTTGCCCACAGGATGCCCACCTGGCTGAGGGCATGGAGCGGAGCAGCCCTCCTTGCAGCCCCGCGCCCCACGGCACAGCTGGGACGGGCCCTGGGGACGCCACCCTTATGGCCAGCATCACAGTGCCAAGCCCTGCTCCTACCAGGGAGCCTGGCATAGACGGTGGCCAGTCTGCGCTGGAGGGCCCTGAGACATTGGTGTCTGCAGAGGCGGCTGCCGAGAGCAGCGCGTGCCTCACCAGCGACGCAGAACGCACCCCAGACAAAACCTTCTCCAGCAGCAGCTTCCCTGGTGGCGACGATGGCAGCGATGAGGACACGGCAGAGCTGACTTCGGGAGTCTTCACCGACTTCTCCGGGGACTACATGGAGCGGGCAGACGTGGCACCGGCATTCAAGTCCTTGCAGAAGCAGGTGGGGACACCGGACTCCCTGGAGTCGCTGGACATCCCCTCTACTGCCAGCTCCTGCGAGGTGTTCAGCCCCACCGCCTTCACGTCTGCCGGGCAGCCCAAGGCTGTGGACAGTGGCTACGACACAGAGAATAACGAGTCTCCTGAGTTTGTCCTCAAGGAGCCCCATGAGCCCCGTGAGCCCGAGGCCTTTGGCCAGATGGGGAAGCCACCCCCGGGGCTGCCAGGAGGGGACGGGGACAGCCCAGCCCCCGAAACGCGGCCCTCAGCATCCTTCGGTACTGAGCTGCACAGCCTCTCCGAGAAGAACCCCTACCGTGACTCTGCCTACTTCTCCGACTACGACACCGAGGCTGAGCGTGGCCCCAAGGATGAGGAGGACAGCGATGGCTCCGAGACCCCGGAGGCAGAGAAGGAGGGACCCCAGCCCTACATGCAGGACATGGTGCAAGCCCCCGAGCTGGGGGAGGACACACTGCACCCCCCAGGAGCACCTGGCAGCCCCCCGGCAGCCCCCAGCACAGTGCTGGCAGCCGAAGCACTGGACATGGGGGTCTCTGTGGGGGACTGGCGGGGAGCAGAGACTGGTTGTCCCACGGTGCAGGAGCATGGCACTGAGCTCCCAGCACCAAGCAGCTCCCCATGCCCTGATGGTGATGTGCTGGGGGGCTCTGTGCCAACCAAGACTTTCTCCTTGTCTCCGGTACCAGACGGTGAGGAGCCAGTGCTGGGCGAAGAGACCCATGAGGCTGAGAGCATCCCTGGACTGGGAGAACATGTGGCTGGGGGTGAACAGACTATGCCCCCTGTGCCAGGGCTTGGGACAGCGGGGCTGCCCCCAGAGGGCACCAGGGTGGGCATCACGCCTGGAGGGGATGCGCCCGGGGGTCCCAGCACGCTGCCATCAGGGGATGAGACATCGATGGGTATCTCCCTGCTCCCATCCACCCCTGAGCGCCGAGAGGAGCCCGAGGAGGAGGAGGAGGACACAGAGGACAGTGATGAGTCGGATGAGGAGCTGCGCTGCTACAACATCCAGGAGCAGAGCGAGGAGAGTGAGGAGGAGCCGGCCGCCGTCCCCATTGTGGTGGCTGAGAGCCACAGTGGCAGGAACCTGCGCAGCCTGCTCAAGATGCCCAGCCTGCTCTCTGAGGCCTTCTGTGAGGACCTGGAGCGCAAGAAGAAGGCCGTGTCCTTCTATGACGATGTCACCATCTACCTCTTTGACCAGGTGAGCGGCCCCAGCAAGGCGAGGTGGGCACGCAGCGGTGGGCATAGTATCCAATAATGGCATTATCTCCCATGGTGTCTCCTTTGTGTAGGAAAGCCCCACACGGGAGCTGGGCGAGCAGAGCTTCCCAGATGTCCCCGAGCCCTCAGCTCAGCCCCCAGCCAGCAGCAGCCCCACCAGCCCTGCCAGCCCCACGGAGAGGCTGAGCACATCGGATGACTCCTCGGATGGCAACGCCTCAGAAGAGAGTAAGGGGGCTGTGTGGTCAGGGGGTGGCAGTGGGCTGACCCTAATGACGGGCTCAGCCCCCAGCCCTTCGCTCTGTGTTGCAGGTGGAGGCTTTGAGTGGGACGATGACTTTCCGCTCATGCCGGTGAAGCCATCCCTGATGTCCTCGCTGACGCCGGCAGAGCCTGACCCAGCCGTGCCCACGCTGGTGCCAACCCCGAAACAGGTGCTGCCCCTCCAGTTCTCCCGCTTCACAGTCTCTCCTGCCCCGGTGTCCCGGTTCTCCATCACCCACGTCTCCGACTCAGACATGGACTCCGTAGGAGGTGAGACCTCAAGCGGACCCCCCTGCCCCCCCCCGCACAGCTCTGCCCCAGTGCCCCCCACAGGCACCACCACCCCCAGGTGATTTTGTCCCTCTTGGTCCCCTGCTCACACCACCTCTCTGCTCCCTTCCAGGCAGCAGCGAAGATGGTGATCGGGAATAAGCCAGCGTGCGCCTCGCCTGCCTGCGCCCTCAGCACCGGCACTGGCTCCGGGCACCGTGCTCTGTTTTTTAGACAGATGGGGTTAGAAGGAGTTTGGGTGCTGCTGGCTGGAGCCGGGCACAGCCCAGGGTGAGGCGGTGTGTGCCAGCGGTGCGTGTGTGCGTGGATGGCTGCGTGTGTGTAAATAGACATATATATATATATATAGACATATATATATATATAAAATTATAGCATTTAAAGGGTAGTGCCCTGACCTTGCTAACATTTGCTCAGTCCCCCCTCATTGATGGGGGCCCCCCCACCCCACATTGGCTTTCTCCCCACGTGTGCTCCCCAAGCCGGTTCTTTGTCCCCACCTGCACCTTGATGCCCCCCTGTATCTCCCCCCCCATCCAGGGCTGGCAAAGCCTTTCAGCCGCTGGGGGGGGCTCGGTTGGGGGGCTGCCCCCTGCTTTTAGCCAGGCCCTTCGGGGACCAGTCCCAGCCCTGCAGGGAACCCCGAAGCTTGGGGGGTTCCCCACCTCCCTGAGGCTTTTTGGGGGGGAGAGGGGGGCTGACCTGACTATTTTTGTATTTAAAGAAAAAAAAACACACACACACACACAAAAAAAAAAAACCCACAAAACCAAAACTCGCTGTTGACAGAACTCACGTTGCCGCGGTTTTAAGTTATTGTTGCCAAAGAGATGTAAAGAGTTTGTGGAGGCATTCGGGGGGGGTTGGGGGGTCGTGGTTGGTTTGTTATTTTTTCTGTTGTTGTTGTTTTGTTGTTTTTGTTTTTGTTTTTTTAAATTCATTTAAGGCTTAGGATAATTGTGCAATTCCAGCTCCCAGGAGGCTGTGGGACTAAGCGGAGCCTATGGGAACCTTGAGATCAGGGCTGTGTCCTTGGGGGCTGATAGACCAAACCCTGAGGTGAGGAATGCCCCCCACCCACCACCACAGCCCCGTGTCCTGCAGCCCGGGCTGGCTCCCGGGGGGGCCGGGGCACACACACACACACACACACACACACACACACACATGTGTACAGCCTTGGGGCTGCGTGCCCATGGGATGGGGCTGCTGCTGGAGGATGCGAGGGTGTTCTCTGGCTCCCACTGCATCCATCCAGCCTGCAGCTGGGCCGTGGCGTTTTAGGAGAAGGCTGCAGGAGGGGTACCACCCCCTTAAAGGGAACAAGAGGTTCCCCCAGCCTCAGCCCCACAAACCAGGGCAGGAGGGGGGGGGGGGGGGGGGGGGCTGTGCCTCCCCACTGCGCACCCCACACCCTTCCCGACATAGCGAGCCCAATTCCTGCTTGATCCAAGTGTATGATTTCAGCTCCACCCCCAGCACAGGCGCTTTGCATTGCAGCGGGGGCCCCCTGACCCCTACCCCTGCAGGGGCTGCCGGAGCCCCCCAGCCCAGGGTTTGGTCTATGGCAGAGGCAGCCGCCTCTGGAGGGCAGCACGAGAGCACAGCTGCGTCCCCCAGATATGATGATGATTTTTTTTTTTTATTTAAATAGGAGAGCTCCTCTGACATTGTATATTTTCTCGATACGGGTCATTACTGCTGTATTTTTTATCAGTGCTGATTTCCATACAGCTCCCAGCATGTGTGTCAGACATCATCGGGCCGATAATAAAGTTTTTAAAATATCGTACTCCGTTTCCTGCCCGCATCATTCCCTGGCACAGCCGTGGCTGTGGGGCTGCTCTGATTTGGGACCAGAGTTGCATGGGAGAGCTGTGCTCCATCGCCGCTGCGGGGGCTCCACCAACCCAAAGGAAAACGCGGGGTGCCCAGTGGTGGGGAGGTAAATTTTATTGCTCATAAATTACTTCTTTTTTTTTTTGTCCTCTCATTAAAAAACAAAACAAAACAATTTCAGGTTACATCTTGCAGGTGCCCATCAAGGCAGGAGGTGCAGTGAAACCTCAGGCTCAGCAGCCTCTCCTACGGGGCTGGAAGAGGACGACACGGGGCTGGTGACAAGGCACACCCCATCCTCACACCCCCTACCCCGGCTGTGAGCCCCCCAGCCCTCCTGAAGGCCCCGAGATGCAGCGGAGCCTTCCCCTGCCCCTTGTTGCCCTGAGGCACAACACAGTGGCTCTCAGAGCGTGGCAGAAGAGTTGGCACCACACGGTGAGACCTGGGGTTGGCACAGCTGCAACCATCCTTGGGGCACATTGGGCAGGGTGCAAGCCCTGCACTGCATTTTGGGGTGCTGTTGGGATGGGCAGAGTTAGGGACAAGGTGGTGGCTTCCCATGCGTGATGCAAGGGTGCCGGAGGACAGCACCTGGAGGTGGGCTGTGGTGGGCAGAATGCTGGGGGTCACAGTGCTGCTCCAGCCCCACAGAAACAGCAGCAATGTGTCCGGGAGCAAAATGCACCCCAGGTGCAGCCAGCATCACTTTGGCCCTGGGTGGGGATGCTCTCCTGCAGGGCACTTTCACGAGCCATGCAAGGGGGCACAGCAGTGCCAGCAGCTGGCTCTAACTGGAAAGCCACTCCACAGCAGAACCCCACCAGCGGTGACCAACGCAGTCAGCTCTCTGCCACCTGGGCTAAACCTACAGTCACAGCAACCCGAGCGGTCCTCTGTGCTCAAACAATTTAAAAAGTGCAACACAATGGGAAAGGCAGAACTTCTGAGCACTGCTCCCAGCTGTGCCTCACTGGTGCCAGCTGCATCATGCAGCAAAGATGCAGCTCCTGCTTCAAAAACCCCTTCCCCTTTGGCAGGGCTGGGGGTGCGAGTATATAGGTGTATATATTTCAGTCTCATGCAGCCCTAGGAATAATGGAAGAGAAGCAGCAAAGCAGGAGGGCTCTGGGGCTGAGCCTGGGAAGGAGCACAGCAGTGCTGGCTATCCCGTGGCACATATCCTCGGAGCCCTCTGCTCCTTGTGTATTTCTTAGCTTATATCCTACAGTAGTACCGTAACACCCCCCCTATGTACACGGCCGAGGCACTGCAGCAGCCCCAGGGAGCAGAGTCCAGCCCTGACCCAGGGCTGCAGCACTGGCACCAGCAACTCCTTTGCTTAAGGGGAGACTGGGGCTCCCCTGCCCGCCCGTTGTCGCTGCATCCCATGAGCAGGGTGTCCCCCGTGCCTTCCTCCCTCCCCTGCAAGCTGCTGCCACTCTGAGAAGCAAACCTGGCTATGGGGCACGAGCTAGGAGCATGGGGTGTCTGACCCGGGGGGGGCATCAGGCTGTTTGGCAGCCATCTGACCCCCACCACTGCAATCAGCGAGCTGGATCTAGAGAAGAGAGGAAATCGGGGCACTAAAGCTTTAGCCTTTGGCTTTTCAAAGCAGCAGGATTAAATAAACTCTGCCTAAAAAGGCGGCTCTGGGAGGCAGCCATGCGCCGGGCGACGAGGAGGCGGCAGTGCCACGCGGCGGCAGCGCTCCCGGCATCAGCTGATGAGCGGCGCCGAGCGGTCGTTCGTCACGGTCGGTTTCAGCTGGACGTTGGCAAAGGGGTTTCTGCAGGGAGAGAGGAGGGCAGAGTTTAGCAGAGGCTCGGGAGTGCAGGTGTGGGGCGATGGGACGACGACACGGCGAGACCCCGCCAGCTCTGGCTGCAGGGATGCTCCGATGGCTGCAGGCGGCCCAGCACACCCCTGAGTACAAGCTGCGGTCCACGTGGAGCTTTCTCCTACCTCGCTTTTCAGCAGGCCTAAAGCTGAGCTCTTCCAAAGGGAAAAAAATTAGGGGTGGGTGCGGGGTGCAAAAGCTGCTCTGGCACCTCCCACGGGGAGAGTCCCGAGGTCAGCCGGTGCTGCAGGGGCGGCTGCGCTGTGCACAAGGCATCGCTCCCTGCACCCGCTGCCATGGGACGTGCTGGGACAAGAGCAGAGAGCACAGCTCCGTGCCAAGCTGCATGGAAGCAGCAAAACGTCCAAGAGGCAGAAAACAGGGAGAGGACGGGCTCCTACTACGTGCCCAGCACCATCCTGCAGCCGCCCACACTCGCAGAGCATTTTCCCTGGCAGGCGGATTGCTGCACACAGCATCTGCCACCACGTCAAACCACCTCCTGAATGCAAACAGCCTGGCTCTGCTGGCAGCCCCCAGCCCTCCCCAGCAGCTGCACAACCCCTCACCTTTGTGCTATGGCACCTGCATGTAGTTGTGGCACCCTCCTGGGGTCCTCTGCCCGTTCCTATGGCTGGTACTGCCCAGGAGCAAACCATGAGCACAGACATGGGGTAATAGGCGTTAGGAGCAGCCACGCTATCAGCTGTGCTATCAGCTGTCTCCACCCACAGCAGCACCCACTGCATCCATCAGTAGTGGGGCCAGGGGGTGGGGCTGCAGTCCACCAGGTGCTGCCCCTCACCATCCCTCACCTTTGGATGCTTGTTTTTCCTTCCCTCAAAAGATAAATGGCTTTATGCTTAAAAATAGGGTAATTAATTTCCCACCTAATTAATGCAGATGCTTAGATCAGTTTTCCCCTTAGGATGCCAAAATAGGTTCTTGAGACTGAAAGAGTAGAAAAGGAGGCTTTGATGATTCACCAGGGGCTATTCTTTAACTGTTTTAGTTCTGGCAGGGAAGAGCCATTGGGATGGGAACCCACAGCTCTGCACCACAGCAGAAACAGCACGGGGCACACAGAGCTCCATCCCGAGATGGGGGGGGGCAGCTCCAAGACACAGCCCCGGAGCCAGGTGGGGGTTGGCACCCGTGTCTACAAGCAAGAGAAGCTGCTCAAAAAATGTCATTAGCGACCACATGTTGGCTCTGCCCCAGGGACAGCTCTGCAGGGTTCCAGGTGCCACTGGTGGCCTACAACCAAAGGTTGGTTATGGGGTCAGAGCAGGGTGGGCAGCAGCAGCAGCAGCGGGCGAGAAGCTGGGACCCCTCTGCAGAAGCTCAACAGCAGCAGCGTCCACAGCACAGCAGCGATGTGCAGAGCTGAGCAGCAGGGCTGGGTGTGCAGGGTCCCACCACCGGGATGGGGACAAGCAGTGACCGAGGGCTCACACAGCACGGGTGCAGGAAGGAGAGCGGAGGCACCGTCTGCCCAGCGTCAGCGCCCAGCACAGAGAGGGGCACGCGGAGAGACCGTCAACTTACTAACTATGGGCAGGGGGCATCTCAAAACCTGGCCACTTCAACATCGGGGCTGCAAGGGAAAGAGAAGGCAGGTTGGAGGACACCGGCATGCCTTGATGGGAACAAATGGTGGTGGTTAACGAGAGGAACCGGGTGGAGGCAGCTGCGGGTAGAGGAAGCAGGAGGGAAAAATAAAGTAAAAATAAAAGAGAGAGGAGGAAAAGTGGGACTGATTGAGTGGTGAGTCCAGCAGCACACCCTGCGAGGAGGAGAAGGAGGCACGTGGCTGCGAGTGGGAGACCTGCGGGGAGGAGAGGGCAGGAGAGGAGGGGAAGGGGGGCCTGCTTCCTTCCCAATGCCCCCAGACCAATGCAGCCCCCACAGCCTCGCTGGGAGCCAGGCAGTGGGCACGGGGCACCCCCACTGGCATGCAGCACCGAAGGGAGCAGAGATGCAGCACAGAGCAGAGAACAGGGTTAAACAGCTTTAACCCCTTAGCAAAGCTGCTTCAACACAAACCGGTCCAAGCTGAGCGCAGGCACTGGGCACTGATGGGATGGGAATGGCCCTTGGCATGGAGGGATGGAGAATGGCAACAACAAAAAACAAAAGGGCATGGCAATGCGGGCGGTGATGGCAGCGCACAGCACGGCAGCCGAAAAAGACACCGAGGCCCAGCTCAATGCAATAAATAAAACTTTTATTCAAACAATAACTCGATACAGGGCACGGTTCTCTCTGGCTTTTGTGGTTGGTTTTTTTTTTGTTTGTTTTTTGTTTTTTTAAAGAAAAAAGGTTTCAGCACTTTACAGTCTCCATCCAAGTTCTGCTAGGGTGGTCGTCTCCCCTCTACCTCCAGTCATTCAGTGCGACATACCCTGGGTTAAAAACCTTTAGCAAAATCGTGCTATCGTTGCAGGAGGGTCTCATCACTGTCTGCTCATAGTGTATAAAACAAAACCTGGTCCGCGTGGCTGCGCGCTCTGCCAGCCATCTCCTAACAAACGGGCACGTGAGAGGCCTTAAAAATCACATCCGAAAAAAAGAAAGGAAGCGTGGCCAGCTCCGTGGTGCCGGGACGGACCGTGCCCAGCCCCTCGGCCCCCAGCACGAAGGTGAGGTAACGATACCTTGCTACAAAAAATATATATATATTTATAAAACAACGAGGAGGGACCTGCGGGGCCGCCCTTGAGCCCAGCGGAGCAGCAGCCGCTCCGGTGCCAGGAGCTCAGCCCCATCCACTTCACGCTATAGCTGGGTGGAAGTGGATTTGGGGTGCGGGACCCCCGCCGCCCCGCAGCCCAGCGGGCGCTCGGTAACAGTACGTACACCAGGCCATGCATATTGGGTCCATCCTGGGGCATCCTGCCCGCGTCCGCGGCTCGTGTAAAGCCCCAGAGGAGGGATAGTGCATCTCTAACATTCACAAAGTAGTACAAAAAACTGGGTCCCACTAAAAGTGTAAACTGCATCCAAGGCTGCTTCAAAGCGAGCACGGACCGATCGGCAGTTTCTGCTCTGAAAAGGCGTCAGAAACAAGGGCACTGTGAACACCGGGGAGGGGTGGAGAAGCACCATGGTTTCCTTGAAGATCACGAGAGAATTTAAAATCCGAAAGTGGAGAAAGAGAAAAAGGGAAGGGGAAAAAAAAAAAGAAAAGAAAAAAAAAAAGGAGGAGGAGAGAGAAGCAGAGCGCTCTTCTGAGCAGCACAGTGCCGCCGTGAGCCTGGTGTCCTCACACCGTTGATACCAGACTGCTGCTGCCGCTGTGGAACAAAGCAGAGGAGGCTGCCCCAGTGCTGCTTCACTCATTGCCCGCGTGTTTATCCCGTGCACGGCCCTGACCAGGGACAGGGGTCCCCAGCACCTGGGGATGGGGCTTCTGCGGGGGGAGAAGGGAGCAGGGGAACCCCAAGAGCTCAGCCCAAGAGGTGGCTGCAGAGACATGGGGCTCCTTGGAGAGGCACTGACCCCATGGGGTGTGAGGCTGGGTGCAGCTGGGGCTGGCCCTGGGACCTGCCTTCTGTGAGACACACTGGGTCCCATTCTGCTCCAAGATCTCCACGTGGCCAAATCCCAGGCCAACAGGCACAGCTCCCCTCCCCAGGGACCCCACACCACAGCTTCACCCAGAGCGCGCACCGACAACTCGCTTTTGTGTTAGGCGACGGGAAGGTGAAGGCTTACCTGCTCACAGACCTCGTCCCATAGTCATCGAGACCCTACAGGAGGAGGAGAGGAAGCACAGTGAGACATGGGCTGCGCCCCTTCCGAGGGCTCTGGAGCATCACAAGGACTGACCAAAGAGCATCGGCACCAGGGAATGCTTGGGCAAGAACCGATGCATTTGGAGATGGAAGGGAGGGGATGGAGATGGTTTCAACAGGATTCAGACAGCAGGGGTAGAGTTGCACATTCTCTTTGGAACAGAACTTGGTCTGGATAAGGGGAAGCAAGAGCTGAACCTGGCTTGCTCTGCCCAGCTCCAGACTTTTGAGATGCGAGACACTTGGAAAGGGGTCAGAAGTCTGAGGTACATCAGTGAAATGCTCTGTGGAAGGGGTTTGTGCTGCATCAACTCCCACCAGAAACCATGTGGTTTCTGTGGGACCATTTTCTCCTTCAGCGCTCAGTGGTGGCTTGCAGGGCAGCACTGGAACTGGTCAATGTCCCAGAGTCCCTCACAGCCCCCAGCATTCTAGGGACAGCCACTGGTGTCCAGCAGCACCTGTGTCCCTGGAACCACACAGCCAAGAGAAAACGTTCCCTGTGAGCAGCTCATTTCTGGTGGGAGACTGCCATGGAGTCAGCAAGTGTTGCCCATTGGGGGCTCACAGTGCCGCTTTGTGCCATGGCCCCTCGTGCCTTGCCCACTGCACCCAGGAAAGCCAAGCTGACCTTCCCCCCTTCATCCCCTTCTCTCCCACTGCTTTTCCCCTCTTCCCTGACCCTTTCTCTGTCAGGAGAGATGCTCGGAAGGGGCTGAGACTGGGCCAGGCATGAGGGCAGCCAGACAAAACCAGGCAACTGCAGGTCCCAATGGCAACATTGCGTGCGCTCGGACTTACAGCTGTCGACCTAGCGTAAGGCTTGTAGTGGGCGGGTGGTGGTTGGCAGAGGCCACTGGAATAGTCTTTAATTGCACAACCATAGGGCATAAGGTAGTCCTATAAACAATGAACACACCCTGTTGGAGAGGAGCTCCCGGCCACTGGCACGTGGTTTGCACCACGCTCACACCAAGAGCACACTTCAACACGTTTCTTTCTGCTTTAAAAACACAGATGGGACACTGCTCCAGGAGAGACCAAAGCTCTGAGACTCATTCAAGGACCTCCCATTTTAAAACATCCCCTAGTTCAGCAAAGCCCCATCAGTGATCATGGCAGCACGGCTCACCTGGGAGAAGGCAGGCACAGCCACGCTGTACGGCCTCTGCTTGAAGGTGTTGATGTTCTGAGATGGGAAGGCTTGTGAGGACATGCCGTAGTCGGGCGGTGGGATGGCAATGTCATCTTTGTCGAGCAGGTTGCCCGTGCTGCTGCTCTTCCCCTGTTGCAGGCTGGGGAGGGGATAGCAGGGCTGTCAGCAGTAGCCAGCACCGCACAGCACCAGGAAGAGGGGCAAGATGCATAGAGCCCTCCCCAGAGCGTCCCTCCTGTGGTGTCTTCTGTCCCCATCCGTATCCAACATCTCCATCCCCACCACCCCAAACAAGGCACTGGAAGCAGTTGAGCTCTACAACGCCCCAGGGAGCATGGAGCTGCAGCACAGGTGTCACTAGCACCAAATGCTGCTCCCCGCCGCACCAAAGGACATTCTTTGGTGTCCCAACCAAAGAGGACGTTCCTTGGCATTTATGCACACTGTCCCACAGGGACTTCACAAAGGGTTGCTACCAACTCCATTCTTTTCCATGTCTCTTGTCTAGCGGAAAGCAGAAAGCTCCCATCCCAAGGCAGCAACCCTACTCTTGGGAGAAACACAGGGTCCCCACCCTGCAAAGCCCCAAGATGTGCCAACACTCGGTGCTCCTACCTCGCATGGACCCGCTCACTGCCATCATTGTCAAGGACACGTGTGTAGGAGAAAGGAAACCAGCCCCTCCTGCAAGACAAAGGCAGGGCATCAGCTGATGGGGTACTGATGAAGGAGAAGGCTGAACCGAGCTCCCTGGAGCCAGCCCCGAGGGCAGCAGCACTCACAGTTTTGTTTTCTCGCTCTCTCCGTAGTGCCACCCATCCCTGGCCTCCGGCACCAGCAGTGTGATGAGGTCTCCCTCCTTGAAGCTCAGGAGGGTGCTGTTATCCCCGGCAGCATGAGAGAAAATGGCCTGCACCCTCGTCCTGCCGTTCCTCTCGAGCCCTGCAGCCATGGAGCTGGAGCGTGGCAGTGTCTTGTTTTCAGCTGGCAGGAGACAATGACAGCAATGGCTCAGTCCTTCACCTCTTCAGAACCCAGAACTCCAGCTCCTTTATTCTGCCCCCCTAAAGCCCTTGTGTCTGGTTCACCCCCCTGATGCCTCTGCACAGCAGCCGTTCACTCCCCAGGAACTATGCACATCACTCACCACCCTGCAGCATCCCCTGTGCCCACCTTCACCTTTGGCATCCAAGTGTCCTACACTATCTTGCAGTCTCACGTGTTGACTCTTTCCCAAATATCCCCTCTTCTTCTCCCACTCTGGAAGGTTTTGCCCCAATCCCACTGCATGAGGCAGCAGCACCCTCATCCTTCAGCACTGTGCAGACACACGGAAGCCCAGGCAGAATGCAGCCCCTGTTCTTGGCATCACCCAACAGCCACAAAGGAGCAGCCACGCTGCGCATCCTCCTTCCTATTCCTCAACATTTTCCTCCTGGAAATCCTATCTGTGGGCCCAGAAATTGGTTCTACTCATTCCCTAACACCATCTCTGGCAGTGTGGATGGCACCACTCTGCCACCAGGCACCAGGAAACCTCACCTGAGGCGTAGCTGTTTTTCGGGGTCACGTTTTTGCGAACGGGAAGCGTGTTCGAGTAAGAGTCGCTCAGCTGCTTCTGAGGCTGGGGAGGAGATAAAGATTTGGGCTGTGCTGGCTTCACCTCAGACCAGTGGTTGTAATCGTCACTGTCTGGGCCCGAGACTCCATTCACCGCCGGCATGGCCTCCTGCATGCGCTATGGAGAGAGGAGGGGAGGGAGGGGAAGATGGGGACGGCTCCATTAGGGCACCTAGCGAGCTCTGGGGATGGGCACGCAGCGCCTGCGGGGTTCAGCTTCCTCCTGACACACTGCTGCAAGCTGCCTTACACCCACCAAACCCCTCCTGAGCTCTACTGCTCAGTTGTCACCCCCGGCATCGGACAGGAGATCCTTTACTATAGGTACTTCTACCATGCAAGGTTGCTCCATGCACCTTTGCAACACACCTTGGCCTCCGGCATTGGGCAGGAGACCCTTTCCTGAGAGCAATTCCATCACACAATTGCTCTGTGCACTTCTGCAGGGCGCCTCAGCCCCCAGCACTGGCCAGGACACCCACATTTAAGAGCAATTCCACCATGCAAGATTGCTCTGTGCACTTCTGCAGGGTGCATCTGCCTTCAGCGCCAGGCAAGAGATTCTTCCCTAAGGGCACTTCCATCACGCAAGGTTCCTCCATGCACTTTCATGGGGTGCCTTGGTCCCACCTTACCAATGCCAGCCCCAAGGCCAGGTGAGTGCAAGCCCCAGCTGCCCACCACCCCACCCAAGCCCCCCAGAGCCACAACCCTGGGGTGTCCAACCCCATGCGCCCACATGTGACAAAGGCAACTTGCTGAGGACAACGGTGACGCTGGCCTGGGCTCATCCCTCCAGCTTTGCTCAGAAGGGCAGGACAACTTCCACCACCAAGATACTTACTCCAACAAAAGGTGCCAGCTCCGGGGGAACAGGGAGAGGTTTGGCACCAGGAATGGGGTCAGAGATGATGAGGTTGGACTTGGATGTAGACAGAGGGCTAGGCATGATGGTGCCATTGCTGCTAGCAGCCATCTGCTGCATCAGCTGGATGGCACGGTCCGGGATCTTGTTGGGATCAGAGCATGACTGCTGCCACAGTGGGAGCTTCTGTGTCAGCATCTCCTTCCCCTGCAAGGAGGGAATGCAGCATGAGGGCACAGGGATGGGCAGCACACAAGCCTGCAGGAGTTTCAGCAACAAAGGACCATATGTGGGCACAGCACACTGGATGGGCTCCTTTACATACGGCACGAGCAAAGGAAGACCTGGGGACCCACTGCTTCCAGGCTCTGCTAGCAGCAAAGCCAGGAAGAGCGACAAAAGAGGGAAGAGAAAGGGAACATCTCTCACAGCCCCACTCCTGACACATGGCTCACGCAGGCTGCAGAGATGCACCACTCTCCCCCTCCCAGTAAAATCACCATAAAACTGCAGGTCAGGATTCCCAGTGACACTCCAACGTCACAAGCTGCAGTGACCGCAGCGGAGGCACGTTCATGTGACAGATGCCTGCGACACCTTCACTGCACACAGAGACAGGAGGATCACACTCGTGCTGTGCACTGTGACACAGGCTCAGGGATGAGCTTCTGTTTGGGGCTGCTTGACCCCAGCAGCCTCCACCACCCACAGCCAGCACGCTGCTCCTGGCTGCGGCAAGAGGACAGAGCTGAACTCAGCCAGCTAATGCAGCCATGGCAACTGAGAGCATCCCATCACACAGCCCCACAGGAGCAGATGTCCCAATCCCACCCCTCCAGGTCACTCCTCAGCCAAACACAGTGTTCAGCCCCACATACAGCACACTCGGAGCAGAGCTGAGGTGCAGTGGCACTGCACTCCTGCAGGTGCTCTCATGGGAACACAACCCAAAAAAAACCAACCCTCCCACACCCTGCACAGATGCCCCAAAGGTTTCTATTGCCCACCTACCACACACCTCATCACCCACCACCAGCCACTGTGCCCATGCACAGTGTTTGCAGCCCATGCACAGCACTCAGTGCTGACATTGCACCACCACCCACCCGCTCAGCCCCTCTCTCTGCAAACTGCAGCAAGAGCAGGAGTAGCACCATGCCATGGCCACAGCTGCACTGCAGGTGACACCACCCGTCTTGGGGGGGGGGATTTTTCTCCTTTGAAGTAAGCATATGCTGGTGACTGATTCAGCCCCACAGCACAGCACGAGGATGGTGCTGACTAAGCCCAATTTCTCCCGTTGCACCCCGGTGCCAAGCGCGGCAGTGACAGATGGATGCCACAAGTGCTGGGGGGTGGCAGGGAACACGCAGGAGGGGAGCACGAGGCTGCTGGGAGCTGTGTGCACATAGCCTGCCTATGGGCTCTGCTCCAGCCCTGTGCAGCCCAGGGGGTGGCCCCCAGCCCCTGTAACCAGGCTCGGAAGTGGACAGTAGGCTGGAGCAGATGCTATTAGGTTTGATTCCTTCCTTTGCTATGGACAAGGGCTGATTCGGGTGGGAAGGGGCCCTCTGGCAGCTCTGCAGGAACTTTGATCAGAGCAAGAACATCACCTGCTTTGCATTTCTTCTACCTTTACAAACCAGGAGGAGCTGATGAATGAACATCTGGAGGAGCCCCCAAACCACAATGACCAGGCACATAGTGAACATAATGCATGCAGGTGAATACAGCTCTGCACACTCACCACTACCTCTCACCTGCGCAAGTGAAACTGCATCAGGAGAAGGCAGACAGCAACAGCACATCCATTAGGGTGATTGTGCCCCAAAACCCTCCTGGCCAAGAGCTGCCCATGGCAGCCTCCAGCACGCCTTCCTGCAGCACCACTGCATCACTGCCCTCCCAGCACCTGCAGCTCCCAACTGCTGGGCTCTGCACAACCCACAGCTTGCACTCAGTCTGCTCCCTGCTGCTGCAAGCTCTCCAGGCACCCAGCAGCCCCTTCTCACCTTAGCATGGTAGGTGATTGCACTCTTGGCCACAGCACATTGCTTCTCCACCAGAAAACAGAACCGCCGCCTCTCCTCGGTCAGAGCTGTCTTATAGCCATCGGAGACGTAATTCTCCAGCTCACCTTGCTTGTTGCTGATGGCCTCGATGTACTGGAGGGGAAGAAGGAGCAGACAGGTGACCGTGATGCCCGCTGTGCCCCACAAGCACCCGCAACCGTTAGCAGGGGAGATGCTTGTGGGTGGGAGTAGCAGCAGAGCCAGCTTGGGGGATGCCCACGGGGGCTCCTCAGCACAGGACACATACACATGTGCCTGCACGTCCCCTCCAACCCACCTGCATTCATCAGAACCCCACGCAGAGCTGCTGACTCAGCGCGCGGGCTGAGCCGTACTGTGCAGCCGCCCTCTCACCAAACGGGCACTGGAGGCTGTCCGGGCCCTCCCCCACCACAATGCTGGCAGCAGCCCCCGCTCATCTCCTCTCCTGCACCCCCGGGACAGCAATGCACATAGAACATGTGGGGCTGGGGCAGTGCTGCTGGGTGCCATAGCCCATAGGAGTGTGCACACAGCATCCCCCCCCCACGCCCAGCACTGAGCTTTTTGCTGCAAGCAGCCATTCCTCGATGCCGGCCCCAGCAGGGCCCCTGCCAGCACCAGGCTGGGATGCTGCAGACGCAGCAAAAGGAGGCTCTGCTGCTGGCACAGCTCCTGCTCCACCTACATGGCTTCTGCCAGCTTGACTGCTTGGCTGTGCCCGCACACACTCTGCCAGCAGGAGTGGGGCATGTTTGGTGTGGAGCAGAAAACAGCACATGGAGCAGACCCATGCGGTGCAAGTGTGGCACAGAGCTTCAGAACAGCACAGCGACCGCATCCACCAGTGCACATGAGAAGCTCCCATCTCCTAAACAGCCCCTTCCTCCTCCCCTCCCCTCGCTCTGCCCCCAGCTCCTCTGCAAGAAGCAGCCAGCACCAAACCCCATGAGGAGCATTGCACAGCCCCAGCATCAGGACACGTCCTGCACCAAGTGGGGACACATTGCTGCCGTTGCCTCTTCCCAGGACACCAACACCAGAAAGCTCTAAGCAGCCTGGGCACTGCTGAACCTGCTCCAGGATCCTCCCTGAGACAGGAACTGAACTGGAAATTCAGGGCCCAAAGCAGCTTCGCTGCTTTCTTCATGTTTATTGGTTATTTTTAGCGTGCTACAGTATTTATTAGCAGACACACAAAATGGAGCAAACCTCAACAAAGCAGCGAGATTAAGCGATGTCCCAGACATCAAAGAGGGCTCAGGGCAGAACTGGAGTCCCCACCGCCCCACGCAGCACCCCAACAAGGGGGGATCCTGCAGGAGGAGGCTGGCACCTGGCTGCTGTGGGGCAGCCCCGCAGCACCAACAGGGCTGAAGGATGGGTAAAGATCCCACCTCTAGCCACAAGCATCACTCCTAGGACAAATTTCTTCCTCCCAGCTCAGAATATCTAGACATAAGAATTGCAGTACCACAGGTGCTTGCGCATCCCCCAAGTGAAGCTTCAGGGAGAGCTGGACTGGGGACGTGGAGGCGGGCACAGCCTGGGGGTAGCACAGGCAGAGCAGGAACAGCAGCTCCCGTGTGGGCAGAGGTGTGCTGAGCACTGTGCCCTCCACCCCCACCAGTGCCAGCCTGGGGTGCAGAGCCCAGAGGTGTGCACATGGCAGCAGGGATGCTCCAGCCCAGGGGTGCAGCAGCAGGACAGAGCTTGGCACCTTCAGCTCAGCAGTTTAATACATGGGCTTAGGAAGGAACACAGGAGGGCCATGCAGTGTGCTGCCAGCCAGCCAGGTAAGCTTCTCCCAGCAATGGGAGACTTCCAGTTTTAATGACTACAACATGCAAAGCCTTATTTACATCCCCGATTCCAATCTTGCTTTGCAGCTATACTCTTAATTACTTCGCTAACGAAGGGCTTGCCTTAATGGCTGCGACCAGTTAGAACACGTCCATTTGCAAGCAGTCTGTGCACTAAATTTAGTGCTTTGTGCACTGCGTGGAGATGAGCACAGCGTGCCATGGGTTTGTTCTGAGCAGCGCTTTGTACAAGGGATTACCCCACAAAATGGTGAGCACTGCCTCACACACCGGCCAGCTCTCATTTCGGGATTCACTCCAATGGCAGTGCTGTGTCCCAATGGGGGTGACACCTGTGCTGCACACGGGCACCACTGGGTGCCATCACCTCACGGACAGAGCTTCGAATTCTCATTTTAAGCATCATCTGAACAGAAATCTCACCTCACAGGGGAAAGCCCCCCCCCCCCACTCCATGGGGGCACCCAACCAGGCGGTGCTGGCGGTATGGAGCTCAGTGCAGGCGCCTCTGGCAGCTCCAAGAAGCTTTTCTGGGTTTCTAGGTTGGAGAAACCTCAGATAACCCCCCCTTCCCCCGCTCCTGAGTGCATCACCTCGCTGTCACCGGAGCTGCTGACCCAATTAGCACAGCGGCACATGGTGGGGCTGGAGCCCATCTCAGGGTGCTCCCCAAGGGGAGCAGCACTGCGGGGTGGGGGCACGGCTGCTGCTTGGGGGCACAAGGAGCCCCGTGGTGGCACAGCTCAGGGATGCACAGCAGGGCACGGCACCATTCAGCATAGCTGGGGATGATCCGTTCAGAAAGCCTCTCTGAATCACTCCAGAGCAGCCAGCTAGCACAGGTGGAGCAGCGCTATCATTACTGAACTTCACCCAAGTCCTTAATAACAACACAGGTGCACTGAAAAAAAAAAAGAAATCAGTTCAAACCGTTCTACCCAAGAACACAAGAACTAGTTAGGGATGTAAGCCAAGGACAATGCTAATCACCACGGCACTGAGCTCTGCTGCAGAAATCACCGTGACAGGTCCTTGTCAGCAATCGGGTGCATCTGCCAGCACAGCAGAATGGGCTGAGAGGGGGACCTGTGCAGACAAGAGGGGAGCAAACACGAGGAGCACTCTGCACGTCACCAGAAGACCACCGGAGGCACAGCCACAAACTTGAGTCAGATGCAGAGCAGGGAGGGGACTGTGACCCTGTGCTGCTCCCAAAACAGAGCTCCTGTCTGGGATGAGGTGAGATGGAACTGGCAGCACTCAGCAGTGGGAGATGGGGGTGAGGAAGCTGGCGTGCTGGGCTGACGGGGCAGGAGGCACTGCATGGAAGGAGTGACCGCTGTGAGGAGAGGGGATCTATTTAAGGAACCACAAGGGACAATAATTAGAAAGTAATGGGATAAAATAAGACAGAAGCTAGGCTGATTAACCAGGAAAGAGCTTCTAAGCTGTCAAATAGTCTCAAGGAAGAGCAGCTCCAAGCCTACAGCACAGGGTCAGAGGTGAGACCAGCAGCTCCCTGGCTCTCAGGAAAAGGTCTTCTCATCTCCAGAAGCTGCTCCTTGCATGGAGGTTACACTCCTTGCCTCGGGTTTTATGCTGAATTTTTTACCCCTTTAGCAGGTTTTGAGAACAAGCCTTGCCAAGGGATACATCCTGCATCCAACTCTAGAAGAGCCAGTGCCTGAGCCACATCCCAAAGCCCCCACATCTCCTCCACAGAGCCCTGCAAGAAACAGCCCCCCCAAGCACGCAGGCACCTGGTGTATCTCCTCCCCATCTCCATCCCATCGTGGTCACCCCAGGTGAGCTGTACCCAGCAGGTCCTGCCACCAGAGCCCAACAGCTGCCCGCTCCCCATCACTGAAACACGCTGCCTTCCCCCCTTACTCCGCCATCTCACATCTGCTCTGCAGGGCAGTGCTTCATCCTATTCCTGCATGCTTTATGTAACACCACGTACACAGCTCCACGCAGGAACTCGCTCCTGCAGCACAGTGCTTCCTGCAGCCAGCCCTCAGCCACGCAAATGTCCCCTCAACCCGGGGACAGCTCAGGGCAGCCACTCCATACTGGGATCTGGTGCGGAGATGTGCATTACATGGGCTGAGTCCTGCCTTCCAAAAGGGCCACGAGGCACCCTGGCCACAGAAAGAGAGGCTTTAGGCTTCATTTCTTTATCAAAATCAATCCACTCGGTTGAGCTTATTTGCAGCAGCTGCTGTGGGAGTTACAAGAACAGCCCCAGGAAGCAGCACTCAGGCAGCAGGGATGGATGTGACAGCCCAGCATGGAGCACAGCCCCAGCCCATGGCTGTGACACCGCATTTGGACACAGCACCACCAGGGCTCAAAGCACAAGGAAAAGGGGTAAGGCATCTGCAGCCTTTTGTATGCTTTTACATAATTCCTCCCCGTTTGACTTTCACATCAGCCCTCGTAACCTGGTTTGTGCACATTCCCCATCAGCCCGTGCTTCTTGACCCATCGCTAAAATTACTTCTCCCCAGTGGGAAGAGAAAATGAGGTTTCAATTACCAAAGTTTCTAAAAAACCCCCGGGCTATTTGGCACAGCAGTGTTTAATGCTTACACCGCTCCCACGGGAGCACACGGGGACAGCAGCAGGGACTGTTCCTGCACTGACCACAGCCACCTCCAACTCAGCCCCACAGGAAAGTCCCACTGCCCACGGCACCAATGGATGGACAGCTTGAGCCCACACTGCTGCTGCCTCATTCAGTCGAGGTCTGAAACCCTAAAACCTCAGCAACCACTGAACAGAGAAGGCAGATTGAGGCAGCACCGCAGCCCAAATTTCCCTTCCCCTGTGCAACAGCTCTGGACTAATTCATCAGAAATCAAACACTGGCGTTATTGCCACCTTCAGCAGCACAGCTCTTAACCACTGCACCTCTGCTGACAAACCCCGCAGCAGCCAAACCGTGCTCTGAGCTGCTATAAGTAATCAGTCTTTATGGAAAGCCACACTGTGCTTTCATCCTGCAAAGCCCCTCCTCACCCACCAGACCCCACAGCATCCAAGCTCTCACTGTGCACTGCTGTGCATGCAGCAGCACCAAGCAACCCCCAGCTCTGCTACCCCAAAACAACAGGTGTGCAACACCCACCCTTACTTCTGCCTTACACGTGGGGAAACCTGCACTGAACAGACACAGGGAAGACAACCCAGGCTGTCCCAGCAGGCTCAGACCAATCCCATGCTGTGGTATGAACTGTGGTCACCCTGTGAGCATGGAGGAGGCAGATAGGAGCAATTTGCTTCCCACAGCATTAAGCACAGAGATGATGACAGAGCATCAGATTCCTGGCTGCTGAGTGCTACAGTGCTTTAAGTGGATGAGTCTTCAAAGAAAGAGTATGATTTTATTGCTTTATTGAATGGGATGAGTTATGTCGGCACTGGGATGCATCTGCCAACAGCAGCTTTCCCATGACAGAACCAAACCATCACCCTGCCTCCAACCCACCCTCACTGCCCAGAGAAAGGTTTTACGGAGCAAGAATCCCACTGAGACACGAGCTGCTCCTCCAGCATCGAGGGAGGACTCTGATCTGAGACTGGGGAACAAAGCCAGCAGTTGAGCAGTTTCATTGCTCTTTAAGCTTAAAAGCCATCATAAGGCTTTTTTGCCGAGATAAGCACTTCCTAAATACTTACTGCTGAAAGATTAAAGGAATGAAAGCCTGATCCTGTTTTCCTCTTTGCCCACAGATGATGTGCTATCAGAACTACCCCTAATGATGCTGCTTCGTGGTGGGAGCACCAAACCATCGCTGCTCCTCCTAGCTGCAGTGGGTTCCTTCCTTTCTCCAATAGGTGGTAGGAATGCCAGCAACCCAGCAGCCCTGGGGACCCTGCAGGAGTCAGGAGGCCCCAGCAGCACTGCCCATCCCTACCAGTAGCTCTTGTAGGGGAGGGGACCCCTCTCCAGGTGCTGATGCCATGCATTTCCTCCCACAGAGCCGCCTTGCTGCTCCACAGGTCTGCTCTCAGCAGAGATCAGGAGCAACAGATTGCAGAGACACCAGTACTCCAAAGTGGTTTCAGCTGCTCAGCTTTCAGGGAAGTGCCAGCCTGCACGCGGGACACCTCAGTCACACTGCAGCAACACCTCCTGAAGATGCTCCAATTAACTGTGCACAAGCAGCTCAGTACAGACACAGGAGCTGGGAGGCTGCAAATGAAATGAGCTCAGCTCAGAGCACTTCAGCTCAGCACAGGGGCTGCGCTCAGCCTGGATGGCTGAACTGCTTTTTTCTCCTTCTGTGATTATCCTGATTCATGCTACTGAGGGAACAACCAATCTCCCAGATTTTAGTGCAATTAACAGCATCACTTTCCGAGCTATCTGTGTTATTTACTGCATTCCTGTGCATAGCCCCAGCGGTGCTTAGATTCCCTTTGGCAGGGCTGTGCTATCAGCCCATCAGCTACCAGTTGCAACAAAATCTGGTCCCCAACATAACAACTATTCTCTTAGACAGCAGCACGCGATTTCCAGCTTTGGGGTTAAACTTCCTCTTTTCCTCAACGATGACAGTGCTGTGCTGCAGCGCTTGCAGCCAGAGCAGCTCTGCAGAGAGATGCACCAACCTCTTGTTAAAGCCTGCCACGCTGAGACAGCTCCGAAGACCAACTCAAATCAAAGCCCACAGACTGATCCGTGCCAGGGGTGCATCACAACACCGCACCGCAGCCCCTCACCATGCCACGGGATGCATCCATGGATGCTCAGCTGCCCCGCTCTTCAGCCTGCCAGCAGCCAAAGCTGTGCAAAGGGCTCTGAGTCCCCAGCCCTGAGCAGCACAGGCACAGCCCCATCAGCACACAGCAGCCCACGCCGCAGTCACGCAGCCATGATTCACTTGCCAGCCTCCTCCCGCACGCGCTCGCCACCGGGCGGGCTGGGGGAAGGGCTGCCCGTCAGAAGGCACTGAAAATATTTAAGCAAAACACCATCCAGAGGGAGATGGATCTGGCACAACAGAAACTAATGATCTTTTCGGGTTCATTCATTAAGGAGGAGGGGAAGAAAAAAAAAAAAAGCAACAAAAAAACCAATAACCCAACGAACCACCAGCTGTGGTGGATCCAGCAGCGTTAGTCACCAGCAGAAGCTGAGCTTGGGCACGGCCACATCCCCATGTCATCCCAGTGCCTCCCTGGCTGCTCCTACAGCCCCAGCACACAGCTGGAAGGGTGATGGGCACTGCCCTCCCCCAGCCCTGCTCCTACCTGCAGCTCCTTGTCTGAGTACTTCTGGGGGTTTTTGCTTCCTTGGCTCTTCTTCCGCAGCTTCTTCAGCTCAGCCTGGCACTTGTCGAGCGAGTCGCCCTTGTTCCTTTGCTCTGTTTGGTATTTCTTCAGCGCAGCCTGGGGGTGAGAGGGGGAGGCTCAGAGCAGCCCGAGGGGGGTGATGTGGAACCCCCAGCCCTGGGAGCAAACAGGGGTTGGGAGACCACATTCCAAATGGTGACACATCTGATGGCCCAGGGACATGGCCAGGGGCTGAATTGGGACACTTACGCTCAGGTAGCGCGAGTCCAGCTCCACCTTCTGCTCCAGCTGTGTCAGAAGCTCGTTGTGGAAGGACTTCAGCTGCAAGAAGAGAGCAAACACAGTTTCTGACATCTGTCACCCAGAGCATCACCGAGCACTGCCCAGAATCCCTGTGATGGGAACCAGGGCTGCACAGAGCTGACGCCAGGAGGGCAGTGGGGCTGAGCAGGTAAAGGGGATGCTGCCAGCAGCACAGGATGGACAGGTGCTCAGAGACAGACCTGGTCGCAACACCAGCAGCTTGTGAGGGGCTGGGTGCCCTGGCCGAGCCCTCACCAACTCCAGAGATCTGATCTGAGGGCTCAGAGGGGTTCTTTCTGCCCAGGCTGAGCACGACAACACCAACATGAGCTCACCATTTCCTCCAGCTGGTTCTGGATCTGCCTGTGGACTTCAGCCATCTGGAAGAGCACGTCTCCTGGAAAGACAAGGCAAGAGGAGAGGGCTTCAGGCATGGAGCTGGGGGCTCTCAGACAGCAGGGAGGGATCCGTCCAGCTTTGGTGGCCGTGAGCACACCATGGAACGGGGCAGCCATGCTGCAGGGGAAGGGCTGTCCCAGCAGAGGGATCCCAGCTCTGCTTCCACTCTTCCTTCAATTCTTCTTTTCCAATACAAGGCCTTCAAGTCTTGTTCCCACTCAGCTTTCCCCAGACAGGAAGAGCCACATCCTGCCCCAAAGCCCCGCCATAGACGGAGCCAGGCAGCCCCACAGAGCCGCTCTGCAGGAGCTGTGCCAGCCTCAGACCCACGGCACCATCAGCCCCAGCCCACACCATGTCACCCTGCTCCCATCCCCATGGGACCACGCAAATGGCCTGCGCTCCAATAGTGAGCAATTAGGAACACTCTGGTCCAACGTGCTTTAGCCCACGGCTGAAGCAATTTGTACTTTGCACCCGCACAGCACGTCTCAAAACTCTGCAAACATTAAAATCTGACCCCTTTGTTCTGGGCAATTGCCAGCCCCTGTGCTTTGAAAGGGGGAAAATCTCAAAGGGCTGAGGGCACTGGGACAGGCACAGGGTGGCACAGGGCAGGGAGCAGAGCAGCGGTGCACAAAGTGAGGTTGGCCAGCAGCTCTGCTCCCACACCAGCCCAGCTCTCTGCAGCTGGAGACACGCCGTTAACTTTTATGGCTGCTTTGCAAGATGCTGAGCAAAGCAAAGCAAAGCAGTGCCGAGGCGCAGCGGCCGCAGTAGCTCCACACATCGGCACTGAAAAGCTCCACGCATGAATGGGAAGGCCTGGGCCAAAGGTTACCCCGACAAGAGTACAGGAAATTGCTCTCCGGTTGGGCTGCGACTGCTCAATCCTAGGAAATGCACAAATTCCCACTACCAGGAGGGCAAGAAAAGTGACGTAATGCTGTAGCTCGGCTGAGATTCCTTTTTCTCCAAGAGTATATGGGCACAAAGGTGGCTTCCCTATATTCCCAAAGCTCACACTGTGCTCTCTCTCAATCCCATCAGACCAAATCCAGCAGCAGAAGCAGCCAGGCCAGGGCTCTGCCAGCAATGCTGTGCATGGAACACATGCAGGGAAGGGATGAGATGCTCAGAAATAATACACACAGCCCCACATCAGCACCATGCAGCTCTACCCCTGTGCTCCCCACCCAGCTCCCAGCAGCAGCGAGGTGGAGGAGCACCTCCCAGGACACCGATAGCCATCTCTGCTGATACTTTCTCCTCCACCATCCCCTCTGGCTGTTATCACAGCTGAATGTGGGGAGTTTCAGCCCCAGCTGGATGCCATTCCACATCAAATGGGCAGGGCAGAGCCATCCCTTGCGCTGCATGTCTGACTGCCCTACGTGCACGTGCTCCAATGGGGTCAGTGTTGCTGCTTTTCCAGCTTGGGTGCTGGGTGAGCGGGTGGGAGCATCCTGAGCCCGCGCAGCTCCTCCATCACAGTGCTGAGCGTGACACTGCAGGGACACCGAGGAGCAGCCCTGGAATGTCTGCGTGGGGAGCACAGAGCACAGGAAGGCTGCAGGCTGCCCGCCCAGCATCAGGTCACACTGACTTCCTCTGAGGTTCCTCCCGCACTGGGAGCCTTAAGAAATTTCACTCTGGGTTTCCCATTGCAGCCTCCAGAGCTGGGAGCCCACACAGGGTGGTGGATTGAAGCTGAAGTCTCCAAATTGCAGCTATAATGTCACACACCTCCAACACCCCGACAGCCCCACACTACGTACTGTGAAAAGGCTGCAGACCTCGTTAGGCATTAACATCTCACCCTGAAACCACCTGGACTGACACAGCTCAGCAGCAAGGGGAGAAGTTAAAATGTGACTCAGAGATATCACAGCCCTTGTGAAGCCAAAATATTGCACGCCCTGGCTGATGGTAGGATCAGCAGCACGGGGAGGTGCACAGCACTCACGGGGGGCTCCCCCCAGCTCCCTCCCACACTGCTGGCACTGTGCTGGGGCTGCTTGGAACCAACACACTCAACGATCCCTGCTGCAAACAGTGCGGGTCACATTGGGAATTAGATAGAGGGCGAGCACCATCTTTGCCCTGTGCCAGAACACACATGCTCTAAGCCAAGAAAGCAAAGCAAAGCGCGAAAGCTGAGGTCAGAAACAAAGACCCACGGGGTGGGCAGGAGGGCAGCGCCAGGGCCGTGCCTGCTCTGCAGGGAGGCACACACACAGGCTGGGAGCTGCTATTTGCGTCGGTGTGACTCACAGTATCATGCTGGGAGAATATAGGGACCATTGTGGGCCCTTCCCCAACCGCACCCAGCGAGCAACGGCGAAACAGGTTGTTCCACATCACTGAGATTGCAATTGGGCACCATGCGCAGAGCCAGCTGCCCGGCAGAAGGCAGAGCTGCAGGAACCGGCTGCTCCTGAGCCCGCGGCTCTGAACCCTCGAGCTAGAGAAGGGCCAGCTTTAAGGAAATATCAAATAATGCAAAGTTGCATAGGAGCACCGGTGCCGGGCATCACTTCCTTGCTCCACAAAGCACACGGCCCCGCTCCACACCAGCACCGAGCACAAAGAGCTCAAAGCCAAAGAGCACAGTGCCAAGCTTTGCTGTTCTTCCCCACTGCACCCAGCTTCACCCTCTGCTTTGCGGAGGGGAACAGAAGCAACAGGATCGAGAAGCGAAGCAACCAAGCAGGTGAGGAAGAGCATTAGCTCATAACGAGAAAAAGCAGCAGGCAGCACAAGGCAGGTTGTTTGGGCAGCTGCCTCCTAAGCTGTGCAGTGGACAGGAAAGCTCCAACAGTTATTTTCTGGGGGGAAAAGCACCAATTTGTGCGCAGGGTGAAGTCCCATCTGCTCCCCACGCGCTGCGTCCTGACCTGCCCTGCGATGCACAGCCCAGCACAGCCTGGCTGCGATCAGATGGCACCGCTCAGGGTTTGGCTCAGCCACATTTAGGACAGAAGCGCACCGCTGAGGACTTCTGCAATCCTATTTCCCCCCTGAAACCAACAGATCGGGATTCAAGCTCACGTGGCACAATCCCAAACGAGCCCTCGAGTTCCTGAGAAAAGCACTTCATGGCTGAGCCCTCATTCAGACACAAAGGGTCCTGGATGCAACTTCCTATCAGCTCAGATGTGAAACTGCAAAGCAACATGGAGGGAGGAGATTCACGCAAGCACTTGGGAGGGGGGGAGGGGGGGAAACAACACGGGTACAGGGAAACAATCAGCTCTGCATTTCCTCTTCAAAAAGGTTCCATTTATTTATCACAGCCGAAAGGATCATGCAGGATTTGTTGATGTTATATCAGCAGCTCATCAGCATTACAATGATCAGTTCTGTTCCCAGCCTCTGTTCCAGCCCAGCTTGGCAAAGCTTTCCACTTTTTTTTTTTTTATTGAGACAAAGTAAGGAGAGGAAAAAAAAAAAAGCCATTGCTTCCCCAGCTCGCCTGGCTGAGCACAGGGCACTGAGCACAGGCACGTTTCCAGCCGCGTGCAGCATGGGGGTACAGTGCCCACCAACAGGACCTCTGCTGGCATGATGGTGACCTTTGGCGTTTGCAGGATCTCTATCTGCATCTCTGCTGCTGCAGGAAACTCCTACCCAAAACGGCTGCAAATCCAATTAGTGGATTAATGCATCTCCCCTGAGGATTCAGCGCAGCACAAAGCCTCCTAACCACGCCAAGGCCACCAGGAGTCAGGTGGGACCGCAGCACTGAGTCCCAAAAGTGCTCGGGCCTTTGGGACAGAGCTGGGCTCTGCCCTGAGCTCAGAGTCCCTCCTCAGGCAGGGCATACCCAGAAGACAGTGGACCAGCACCAACACACACTTTGAAAGCCACATAGAGCTCCTTTGCAGCTGTGCCCCATTGACACCAAGCTGCCTTGGGCACCAGCTGAGGGGACCTTGGTAAAAACCAGCCCCCAAAACAGTCCTTCCCTGGCTCTGGAGGAGCTTGCTGCAGGTACATTCAGCCCCCAGCACAACTCAGCACCACCCACAGAAGCTGCATTTGGAGCAGTACCCAGCTCCTGGAAAGATCCCAGATTGAGCCCAGAGCAAATCTTGCCTGATCAGGCACAGCATTAACTCACTCCATCTTCTCACCCTCCCAAAAACCACCTCTCAGCCAAGCTGTGCACACCCAAGAGGAACTGCAGGCTTGGATCTAACCCTCCAAGTCCCAGAGCTGGATGGGACCAGAGCCAGACAGGTGGGTCACATCCATCCCAGCGACTCAGCTGATGGCAATGCCAAGAACAGTCTGGCCCTGACCATCCAACAGGCTCAGCTCCTCGAGGTGCAAAATCCAGGGCAGAGCGAGGCACGGCACGCCGGGAGCTGCAACTTGCACCACCACCTTGGGTGCAAACAGGAAAATCAGACTCTGAACACCCCAAACCTCAGTGGTGGGGCTGGCAGGGCTGTGCCCACCCCACCCGACGCCTGCACCCAGCACAGAGCCGATTACAGCTCAGGTGCTTCATTACTGCTGGGTTTCCCGTTGCTGCACCAGATTATCCTGTCTCAGCACAGCTGCTAAAATCTGGTGGAGAATTTGTGAGCTATGTGAAGCACTAAGCAGGCGGGGAGCGCAGAGCTAAGCTGGGGGCAGCAGTCTGGTGGGCAGAGGCTGAATGCTTGCAGCAAGGTGAGCGTGCAGCATCGCTGCAGCCCAAGGAACGTGCAAATACAGCCAGCACCATGCAGCACGAGGCAGCAGGACCCTGCACCAGACACTCAGCATGTCTGCAGACAGGGATCACCGAGTGGTTTCCCAGCACCCAGATTAGGAGCTAAGCTCCTCTGAGCTGCATGTGCTATTGAGGCATGGAACTGAGTGCGGAGCCGGGGTGGGTTTGGGACATAGGTGGACTTTTCCCACCATTTTTAGGCACAGGATCTGCACTGTTTTTATGTTCAATTGATGACTTGGCTCAGAAATAGCACCAAAAAATAAGCACAGGAGAGAAAAGGGGAATAAGCCTCAGATCCTTGTCCTTGGAGGCCAGAAGCTGCAGCCCCAGCAGCACCCCCACCTGCTGCAGCTGTGGGACACAACCCAGACCCAGCTCCTTTCCAGCACTATCAGCCTTCACTGATTAGCTCAAGGTGTGCCCAGAAAGAGCAGTACCTCTGCTGCTGCAGGCAGCACAGCCCCATCTGAGGCATTTTGCAGCCCATTGGGACAGGGTGGTGTCCTGTTATCAACTCCACAAATGTTATCTCCATTTTCTTCCTCGTGGAGCAGCTGCCACCATAAACACCAGCAAAGATCAGCACAGCAGGATGGCTGAGAGCTGCTGCAGGGCAAACAGGAGCTGCCCCGTGCCAAACCCCAGCGCTGCACGCAGGGAACAGTCCTGCACAGCCCTCCTATGGGCAGAGGGTTTGTGGCCCAGCTCCCACCTGCACAG